ACTTTATTATTATTCCCTTGGTTTTCAAAATATGTACTTAGCTGGCTTTTCAAATGTACTAAGTTTGCTTGTGTATAAAAGTTTCCTTTCCCTGTGGATCCCAGGTATGAAAAAGAACTTGTTAATTGCAGAGTTAAGAACTGAGGTGGATATACAAAATGGAACACTACCCAGAAATAAAAAGGAATGAATGCATTAATAGAGTAGGCAAAATGACAAGACACAGAAAGCTGAACAGTAGGCGCCAGGAGTTGGGGGAAGGGATCACAGGGAGTTAGTGTTTCATGGGTAGAGTGACAGGATTGCAAGATTAAATGAGTTCTGGAGATGGATAGTGGTGATGGTTGCATAACAATATAAATGTACTAAATAGCCCTGAGCTATATACTTCAAAAATGTCTAGGATGTTATATTTTATATTATGTATATTTAACCAAAATAAAGAATTTTTTTAGAAAAGGGAATGAAGTACTGATACATGCTACAACATGGATGAGCCTTGAAAACTTACAGTAAGTGAAAGAAACCAGACACAAAAGGCCACATATTATATGATTCTATTGATAGAATAGTAAATCTACACAGAAAGTAGATTAGTGGTTATCCAGGGCTGGGGAGGGCTGCGGGAGAACAGGCGGTGGCTGTCAATGGGCATAGGGTTTCTTTTGGAGTGATGAAAATGTTCTAAAATTGACTTTGATAATGGTTGCACAACAGACATATTGGTTGAGAACTGTACTGTATGACTTGTATGAGAATTGTATCTTTTTTTTTTTTTTTTAAGACAGAGTCTCACTCTGTCATCAAAGATTATGCAGTGGCATAATCTCGGCTCACTGCAAGCTCCACCTCTCAGGCTCAAGCGATTCTCCTTCCTCATCCTCCCAAGTAGCTGGGATTACAGGTACCAGACACCATGCCCAGCTAATTTTTTGTATTTTTAGTAGAGACGGGGTTTCACCATGCTGGCCAGGATGGTCTCAAACTCCTGATCTCAGGTGATCCGCCTGCCTCAGCCTCCCAAAGTGCTGAGATTATAGGTATGAGCCACCATTCCTGGGCCCAAGAACTATGTCTTAATAATTGTTATTATTTTTAAAATTTAAAAAAAAAAAAAAAACTTGCCAGGTATGACAGCTCAGGCATGAAGTTCCAGCTACTGAGGGACCGAGGCAGGAGGATGGCTTGGGACCAGAATTTGAGACCAGCCTGGTCAACAGAGCAAGATCCTGTCTCTAAAATCTATATATACATTTTTTTAAAATTAGCCAGTCATAGTAGCATGCACTTGTGGTACCTGCTACTTAGGAAGCTGAGGCAGAAGGATAGCTTCAGCCCAGGAGTTTGGGGCTACATGAGCTATGATCCTACCACTACGTTCCAGCCTGATGACAGAGGTATACCTGTCTCTAAAAAATAAACTGAGGTGGAACAGCCACCCAGCTTCTGACTAGTGGATGATCCTCTCCCTTCTTCATTAGTAGCATATTTAACAAGTGGCAAAGGTCCTATTTTAAAATATGCCAAGTGTGTTATCTTATTTCAACAACGTTCTATCTCAGCTGTCCAATGTGGTCTTGGTTAAGTTACTTAACTGTGATAATCTCCAATTCTCTTTGTCTATCACCTACTTCTTTCTCTATAAAAACGGACAACAGGCCGAGCGCAGTGTCTCCTGTCTGTAATCCAAGCACTTTGAGAGGCCAAAGCGGGCAGATCACTTGAGGCCAGGAGTTCGAGACCACCCCAACTCAACATGGCAAAATCCTGTCTCTACCAAAAATATAAAAATTAGCCAGGTGTGGAGGTACACACCTGTAATCCCAGCTACTCAGGAGGCTGAGGCAGGAGAATCACTTGAACCCAGGAGGTGGAGTTTACAGTTTTACAGTGAGGCAAGACTGTGCCAGTTCACTTCAGCCTGGGCAACAGAGCAAGACCCTGTCTCAAAAAAAGAAAAAGAGGACAACAAGCATTCTTAGGAAGAAGAAATGAGCCACAAAAAGTCTCTAGAATAATAGCAGGCTTTTAAAAAAATCATAGGTATTCATTCAGTGTTTGTAGACCTCAAAAATGGGTCTCTGCAAAGTAATGAAGCAATGAAAGGTAGGTAGCCCCAGAAATGTAACATTAACACATGGCAAATTCTCTCAAGTCATGCCTCCTTGCATGCCTCCTCCAGAAAGGAAAAGTTTGAAGTTTACTTTTTTCCTTAGCCATACGTCTCCATTCCTGTAGTTATTTCATACTAAAGCTTTCGTGTTGACCATGAATCCAAATTTTACCTTTTATGGAAGGATTAATATTTTACATATATCTCCATTGGACAGATACCTCTACTGAACTGGGACTTCTTTTTTCTTCTTTCTTATTCTCTTTACCCAATTTCCTTGGGAATAATGAATATGGATTTCCTGTCTTCCCCTATCACAAATTCTCTGATACGAAAAACTGGAGAAAACTCTGCTCAACTGTCTATATGCAATACCACCTCTAGAAATCCAGGAACTCAGGAATTCAGGCACGCTTTTTGTTTGTTTGTTTTTTGTTTTGTTTTGTTTTTTGACACAGAATCTCATGCTGTTGCCAAGGCTAGAATGCAGTGGCACAATCTAGGATTACTGCAACCTCCGCCTCCCAAGCTCAAGTGATTCTCCTGCCTCAGCCTCCCGAGTAGCTGGGATTATAGGCAACCACCATAATGCCCAGCTAATTTTTGTAGAGACAGGATTTCACCATATTGGTCAGGCTGGTCTTGAACTCCTGATCTCAGGTGATCTGCCTGCCTTGGCCTCTCAAACTGCTGAGATTGCAGGCATGAGCCACGGCGCACAGCCTAGGCATGCTGTTTTTATTCAATTCCTTTTACATACACAAAGAGCAGGTCCAGGCAAAAAAAAAAAAAAGGTGGGGGGAAGAGTAGATCTACATGTCCTGATATTGAAAACTGTTCAAAATGTTCTATTAAGTGGAAAAAGATAGTAGTAAATTAGTATAGAATATAATCTGTAAAATATCATTATTTAAACTACTTTGTGGGCTTATGAGTATGCACATATACACATGTATAAATTTTAAAATCTGGAAGTATATATACAGAACACCAATTAGCAGTGGGCCTTACTGAAAGCGGGGCATTATGGGGTCTATCACTGCCTACCTTCCAAATTTCTGTACTGTTTGAAATTCTGTTAGCAAGAATGTTTTATAACAAGGACAAAAATAGCTAGAAGGAATAAAAAAGTTGGGAGAACTAGAGCTAAATTGCAGAATTCTAGCTCTACCATCCCCTTAATCTCCTATACACATAACCATCACCTATAGCTGGCCACTCTGCTCAGGCACAAAAGGGACCTTTCTCCACAAAGAAAAAAGACACAACTCCAAAAGGCTCTTCTGCCCTCGAAAATTGAAGAATACCAGAGCCATGACTGAAGAGAAAAAAGAATCCCCCACAACTCACCAGAGTTGCCAGATATTCCCAGATCACTTCCTCCTTCTTTTTCTTGGGTTTTCTTTACTTTCTTTTTAACAGGCCCATCATTTTCCAATGGTCTCTTCCTACTTCTGTCCATTTCTGTAGTCTGTATCAAGAAGGGTAGAAAATGATGTGTTATCTCTATTCTGAGAAAGCTTCATGTATGTGAAGTAATTTAAACCTTACATCTGAATGACAAACTCCTTGCCATCCACTCTTCATAGAATCCCCTACTTTTAGCCTATGGGGAAAAGTCTATGGGTGAACTGTTTTGAACACCATCAAAGACAAGGTAGAGTCTGATGACTGAAGTCAGGAGCCTCAGCAACTCAAGCCCTGGTAGAATTAATTGAAACCAAGGCTGGTTACCTGTCTTGACTCAATAATCAGCCTTCAGCTTTCTCTAATTATAAAACTTGAATCACCCTAATTACATATGTTAAATAAAATACTTCTAAGAAATAAACAGCTACGTAGCAAAGGCACAATTAGAGGGGAAAAGATAGGTAATAAAAGAACAGAATCATTTTTGACATGTTCATTCCAATTTAAGTGTTTCCGGTTTAAATGGTTTATGTTCATCAATAAAGATGTGACAAGATTATGAACTTCTTTTGGCAGAAAACCTGCAAAAAGCATACGTAAATCCTTCACCAACTACCCTCTAAATGGTGGTCAAAATTTTGGTGAATTCATGATAATGTAGGTCATCGTTAAAAAAAAAAAAAACACACAAAACAAAACAGAAAAGGAGTAATCACTTTAAGGGAGAAATATACAAGAAGGGAACGAGATTTTGAAGCACCCAAGCTGTAATCTACATTAAAACACAGTAGGTGGCTAAAAACCTGTTTTCAATGCCCTTCCACAGCCTCAGTTTGAGAAATACTGTGCAGAGAGCCCCAATAAGGGGCTTTTCCCGTGGCAGTATCTGTGGTTTAAAAACAAACAAACGTACCTATTGCGTTGAAGCATGGCAACAGGAAGGACCCCATGATTAATCACATCTATAACTATCCTAAGAAACTTTATCCACCCAAATTGTATTTCAGACTATATTATCTAAACTACAAAAAGTGCAGTCACTGGGGAACTGCACAGTATGATTGCTTTTAACCTAATGATTTGAAATACTGAGCAATGCTGCGGCAGCCTTAAAAACGGGAGACCTAACAGCAGCTTCCTTCTAGTCAGCCAATCCAGCACTTTTTAAATCAGTGAAACCCTTCAACCACCAAGAAAAAAAAAAAAATGGAGGTTAAAAGACGCAGCCCTTGCCCACAAGCCCCCTCGTCAGGAGACCTTAGTTCCTGTCTCAGGCCTGCCATTAAAAACCTGCGTGACCGTGGCCTATCAGCTCAAATGGAAGTGCTAAAACCTCAACGCTACACCTAGAACTTAGCCCCGGCTAGGCCCTTCCCACCTTCCCCTTTCTCGGCCCGCCCCTTCCTCCTCCAGCCCTATCGTCTGGCGGAGGGTCCCGACCTCCGCGCCTCACCCACAAGCCCCGCCCCCTGGTCCCGACGGCTCGGCCCAGTTCCGGACAGCACCCACCACGTGCGGCGGCAGCTGGGGCGGGAAAGTGGACGCTGGGGGCGCTGCGGCGTCAGGGTCCACCTGGTCGGCTGCACCCGCGGAGGAGGAGGTGGATTTCAGAGTTCCCGTAGACTGGAAAAATCGGCTCAAAACAGCTTGCCGCGCAGGGGCTGCGCTGGAGGCAGCGAGGCCGCCCGAAGCAGGCTTCCGGCGAGACATGGCAGGGCAAGGATGGCAGCCAGGAAGCAGGGCACGGCCGGGAGCGCGAGCCCGCGGCCTCAGTTCCCAGGCGTCTGCGGGCGCGAGCACGTCGCGACCCTGCCGTGCGCCGGGGCGGGGGGCGGGGCCTCACCTGCACAAATAAGGACGAGGAGGCGGAGCAGATGATTTCGCGCCAAAGTTGGCCGCGCACCGTTGTGTATCCAGCGGACTCAGTGCTCACTGCTGCTGTCATGGTTCAGTTGCTAAACTGCATCGTCGCTGTGTCCCAGAACATGGGCATCGGCAAGAACGGTGACCTGCCCTGGCCGCCGCTCAGGTATCTGCCGGGCCGGGCTGAGGGACCCAGACTGGCCCAAGTCTGGGGTCGGGTGCCTGGGTGGGACTCGCCCGGCCTACTTGCGGCGGGAGGATGGGGTCAAACTTGCGGTCTGCACTGACTGGAGGGGTGGATCCGGCTGGATTCCCCTTTTCTGCTGAGCGGGAGGCCAAGTTGCTGATTTCTACCCGAAGCCTGCTGCCTGGTGAGGTCTTTGCCCTGCGGCGCCCTTGTCCAGAGCAAAGTCCCAGCCCTGGAGTAAACACCCCACCCCTGCCCCCAGCGCTCCGTTTGTCTGGTGCGTTAGAGCTCGAGCCCAAGAGATAATGTTTCGAGTAACGCTGTGTTTCTCTAACTTGTAGGAATGAATTCAGGTATTTCCAGAGAATGACCACAACCTCTTCAGTAGAAGGTAATGTGGAATTCAGTAGAGTCTTGCTTAAGTTTACCAATGCAAATGTTAGTTAAATGGAAAATTGTCCGTATTAATCTGGGACCTTTGCTCGTATGGATCTCTATGCAGTTCCCAAGGTTTATTTATCATTATTTAAAATTTTTTGTCTTCGAAATTTTATGTTAACGCATGAGCAAATTCAGGCAAGGGACAGAATTGGCAACTAGTTGGAGGCTTCCTTGGAGGTCAGCACTCTGGAAAAAAAAAAAAAGCAGAGGAAGCCTTTGGAACAGCTTCCTGGCTTTTGTAGATCTGGAATCTAAAGATGATGAATCAAGGATGAACGCTCAGATTATCAGTTTGAAAGCTAGTGTGACATGTAAAAATGTGGAGAATAATATGCCACTGTAGTGATGAGGAACCTCTAGGACATCGGGGTTAATTTCAGGCACAGGGTGTGGGTGAATTGAACTATTGGAGGGAAGGGGATAACCAAGGAAAAGAATGTGGAGGTTAAGAGATGCCCCGTTTAAAACCTAAGAGATGTAGATATTTATGGTCGTAAGAGGAGGCATGGGCAGGGGAAACAAAGAGTAAGGAAGGAGCAGATGCCGTATCTCTTTAATGGGACAGATACAAGGCATTTGGTTTTGACACTTAGATCACTGGTAGAGTGATGACAAAAGCCTATAGCTAAAGAATTAATAAAAGCCACTCTCAAAATCCCAATATGGTCTGGTAATCTTAATGTTTCTTTGGTTCAGATAGCTGACTCTCAAAGTTACTCTTCTAAGAAACTGAACCAGAAGTGGAAGCTATATGTAAAAGGTTTGTATAGAAGTCTTTACTTAAAAGAGTAGGATAGAGACATAGTTAAACATGTTTTAAGGTAATTGAGTGGAACATTAAGCAGCTATTTTTCAAAGTATGATTTCATGTAAATCTACAAGGTACACAAATATGAGTAATACAATTATATCAAACAGTTGTGACAGTACTGATTAGAGGCTGAATATTATTCTAAGTTTTTAATTTCCACAACAACCCTAGAAGGAGGAACTACTGTTATCTCTGTTTTGTTAAGTAAACCACAAGGGGTTAACACGGTTTGTCATGTGGATGAGAAAATGCATTCAACTTGAGCACTTTGACCTAGAATCTTTACTCTTTACTATGTTATACACAATTGCAATTGATTAAAACTAAATATTGGATATAAATTGGATAATTCCAAAGGGAAAAATAGTTATATTTAGGATATGAGTGATAAGTATGAATTTTGGTAAGTCTTTTAAGTTTCAGTTTTTTTAAAGGAGATCCACTAGATGGCAGGATGTCAGTCATGTCCATGCACATACCTAAACTAAGTCCTCATTTAAAGTCATCTGTGAGTTCTTGAAAACTGACTGTAAGTGAAACAATATATAGCGAAACCAATTTTACCGTAGGCTACTTGATATGCACAGGAGTTAAATTCCTAGGGCATATTGCTGGTCACAAAAAAATCGCAAAAATTCTAAGTGAAGGCTGAAAACATTTCTAATATTAAACACTGAAATAAATAAGAGCTTTACATATGTTTAAGAAAGATTAATAATGTGCACATCTTTGGAATGTGAAAGGAAACGAGTACCTAGAGAAAACCCAGGCAGACATGGGAAAAGCATGCAAACTCCACATAGACAGTGTGGCCCCGGCCAGGAATTATTTTTCTCATCAACATTAGACAAAAATGATATTATTCAAAGACCTGTTTTATATAAACATATGAAAATATATGTATATTCCCAAAATATACTTAGGCTTTCTTTGTGATTTTATAGATAAACAGAATTTGGTGATTATGGGTAGGAAGACCTGGTTCTCCATTCCTGAGAAGAATCGACCCTTAAAGGATAGAATTAATGTAGTTCTCAGCAAGGAACTCAAGTAAGTACCTTACTTAGCATAAATTCACCACAAGAAAATCATGTCTCATTTCTTCTAGTGGAGATCAGTATAAAAGGAGCTATTGATGAAGCTGCTTAATATCACAAAGGTTATTACAGAAAATGAATAAGCAGTTGTTTATACTACATGACATTAGCTTAGTCTACTACCTGAGTTATTGATTTCATCACCTTGAAAAGTTACATTAAACATTAAGTATCTCACTGTGGCATCAGATTTGCAAGTTTTCTTGAACCATCATTCAGTAGCCTCAAATGTAAATTATACAGGGTAATCAATAACTTCTAGTTTCACATAAAGTCAAAACAACTATGTTTGGGGACTTGCTAAAATTAAGTGATGATCCCCTTTCTGGACACAACCCTAAATGTAATAAATTGTGAATTTTAGGATGGGCTGAAATGGGTCGTAATCTTCTGCCTATTATTCCTAATTAACCACAATACCCATTAATATTTTGTACTTAACATTCATTACCCAGTGTCTGAAGGTAAAAAATTTCAGAGTATTGAGATGGTTCTAGAGACCCTGGGGCAAAGCGTGTGTCTCCAATTAGCCTCTGCTAAGAATTTTCCTGTCCTCCAATCCAGCGTTGGAGTTAGTAGTTTCTGAAATTACTCCTGGATATTCCCTGGAGAGTTGGAAGCTAATCATATTAAGACTGCCCAGGAAGTCAACTCCCAATGGTTTGAGAGGTCGAGAGGTGGGCAGAATTGGACCTGTGTTAGTCCATTCTCACGTTGCTATAAAGAACTGTCCGAGACTGGGTAATTTATACAGGAAAGAGTTTTAATTAACTCACAGTTCCTCATGGCTGGGGAGGCCTCAGGAAACTTAAAATCGTGGTGGAAGGGGAAGCAAACACGTCCTTCACATGATAGCAGGAAGGAGAAGGGCTGAGCAAAGGGAGAAAGCCTCCTTTTAAAACCATCAGATCTCATAAGAACTCACTATCACAAGAACATCATGGGGGAAACACTCCCCCCATAATTCATGTATCTCCACCTGGTCCTGCCCTTGACATGGGGATTATTACAATTCAAGGTGAGATTTAGGCTGGGGACACAAAGGCCAAACGATATCAGGAACTAAGAGCAAAGAAAGTCTGGGATCTGACATGTTAATCACTGCTTCTTAGTCTAATAATATAATCACCTAAAAGAATGCAGTATCGTAGGGCACTACTTGCTTGGGAACAGTGATCGTAGTATTCTTTTCTCATGTGTATTAGTCAAGATTCAACTCAAAAAGCAGAACCAGTAGTAGATAAATATAGGTGTATTAAAGAGTTTTCTTGCAAGAAATTGGCTTACACAATTGTGAGGGCTGGGGAATTGTGAATTTGTGGACTCACCTGGCTATATGAGTCCACAAATCTGTAAAGCAGGCCATCAGAAAGGTCAAGCTGGAATTCTGTAGCAGGGGCTGAAGCAGTGCAGGTGAAATTTCTTCAGAGAAGCCTCAACTCTACTCTTAAGGCCTTCAAACTGAATCAGCTCACTCAGATTAAAGTCTGACAAGGAACAGTGGGTAACCCCTGTAATTCCAGCACTTTGGAAGGCCAAGGCAGGTGGATCACTTGAGCTCAGGAGTTTTGAGACTAGCCTGTGCAACACAGTGAAACCCCATCTCTACAAAAAAATTTAGCCAGATGTGGTGGTGCACCTGTAGTCCCATCCACTCAGGAGGCTGAGGTGTGACGATCACTTAAACCCGGGAGCAGAGGTTGCAGTGGGCCAAGATCGTGCCACTGCACTCCAGCCTGGGCAACAGAGTGAGACCCTGTCTCAAAAAAATAAAAAACTGAATTGTAATCACATCTACAAAATACCTTCAAAACAACACCTAGATACAGTATCTGAATAACCAAGGACTATATCCTAGCCAAATTAACACACGATGAGAAGGAAAAAACTACACAGCTATATAGGCTAAGGGGATTCAGGCTTACATAGATTTTCTCCCAGGTTTTTCCTAGAATGGCATAGGTAAAAACCGAGAAATGTACCAGAATATTTGCATTGATTGCCTCTGGGCAGTGGAGCAGATTTGTTGATGGGCATCTTGCTGCCTGCCTCCATCTTCATGCTGTTCTTCTGGTTGCTAGGATATTCTGATTATCTCTGTCTTTGGTAGAATTCAAGATCACAGACTATATCACCATTCCAAGAAACTCTAATAGACATTTTTGAATACTACTAAAGTTTGTTTATGGCTAGCTTGAGCTCAAACAAACAGAAAGAAATCTCAGTGGGGGAGATGTTCACTTGAGCCACCATTTCTCCTCAAAAGATGAGTGTAATTTCTTTTTTTTCTTAACCTCCCTGTGGTGCATGTAATTGGGTTTGGTTGCTTCTTGTGTATTTATATATAACATATGTTGGTATCTTGTGCTTTCTTCTTTTTTTAGGCTAAGAAGATTTAAAGTCTATTATCAAGCATGCCAGAGAAATAGTGATACCAGTTAGTAAAATATGTTAGAGCTCTTTTTTGTTGTTCTTGCCCCTGCTTACTTACTTGCTGGTCAGTCCCACATGTGTAGGGAGCACCTGCTGAGTGCCAGGCACTGCAGGGTCCTGAATAAAAGGGCAGAGATTTATACATGGAAATCACTTGCTTATGCAAGCTCTAAAGATATTTGTTTTTTCACCCTCTCCCCCACTGTAAGAAGAAACTGCATCCCCAAGGTAATCACAAAATTTTCTATCAAACCCTAGTTATTTAGGGTAAATATTTCCTTAGCGAGGTATTGGGGGAAAATGCTTCTCCACATTTGTCTAGACAATCAAGTTGTACCTTTAAAAGAACTTGAGGTGAGAAGGATGGGAATGACCACCAATGAGTACAGAATGGTTTTATTTTTATTTTTATTTTTTGGTATGATGGAAATGTCCTAAAAGTAGGTAGGAGTGATGCTTGCACAACTCTGTGAATATACTAAACATAACTGAACTGTACACTTTAAAAGGGTGAATTTTATGGTATATGATTTATATCAATAAAGTAGCTTTTAAAAGTCTTTGGAACCAGCCAGGAACCGTGGCTCATGCCTGTAATCCCCACACTTTGGGAGGCCAAGGCGGACAGATCATAAGGTCAGGCATCTGAGACCAGCCTGGCCAACATGGCAAAACCCCAACTCTACTAAAAATACAAAAATTCACCAGGTTTGGTGGCACACGCCTGTAATCCCAGCTACTAAGGAGGCTGAGGCAGGAGAACCGCTTGAACCTGGGAGGCAGAGGTTGCAGTGAGCCAAGATCCTGCCACTGTACTCCAGCCTGTGTGATAGAGCGAGACTCCATCTCAAAAAAAAAAAAAAAAAAAAAACTGTGGAACCAAATACTAAATAAACAAGTTTTACTGCAATGCTATAGCCTTGACATCATCTTTAGAAAATCCAAAATTGCCTCTCTGATAGAAGATTTAAATAGTCTCCCTTCCATGAACGTTAACTAACTTTCATGTTACAATTTTTTACGATCTCACTATCAGTTATAATTTTTTATGATCTCATGATCTCAGAGATAGTGAGATCATAAAAAATTTTTGAAGCTGCAGTTCTCTCTCCCTACCACTCACACACGTAGAGTAGGAAACACTGACTGACCTGGCTTCTGATATCTCCTGTGGCACCTAGTAACTTTGTGACTTTAGGCAGGTTACAAGAAAGCTTTGTTGAACCTGTTTCCTTACCTATTAAATGAGATGAATAATGACAACTTTTTAGGGTGATTTTGAAGACTCGCTGAAATTTTGTATTTAAAGTTTCTGGCGCACAGAAGGATATAGACATCAGTTCCTATCTCCCAGCCTTGCTACTTTTTATCTTATAGAACATACCCATTAATATAATATTAATGAAATCACAGTGAACAGACTCATGATGTCATTTTCACTTTAACATATTACTTTGTTCTTGTTTCCCTGGATCTTGAGACAAAAATCCCCTGCCACCTAAATCAACTTTCTCCTCTCCCCTGACTTTATTCTGGATTCCTTTTTTTTTTTTTCCTATCTTCGCCTTGCTCTGCTGTCCCAACCTTTTAGTATTATCAAAGGCGAAATAAAAACGTTGAGATGAATTTCTAAATTTAACATTTTCTTCGGGAAGAAAGAACTGCTGTTTAGGGCATACATGCGTACAAGTGGCCTTCCCTATGTCTGAAGAACAAGGGAAGGTTAGAGGTTTTATTAAAAAGGAGAAATGTTACTGCTCTTAGAGGAAGTTCATTGGCATTACTAAGATTTGGGGGACCTGGCACCTCCAACTGTTGAGCAGCAAGTGGTAGGCAAAATTAGTTCTGGAGTTGCAGCAAGTTATCTTAGAAGCTATAGATAAAACTGGTTTCAGGTTACAACAAACAGTACTAGCAGTCAGGCTCACAGAGAATTACATTCTTGGAGCAATTTTTTGTATGCCGAGTGCTTTCCTCCCCGGCCCCTCAACTCTAATTTAGTTGGGTATGGCAAGAATGACCCACCGTCACCCACGCTGGAAGGCAGTGGTGTGATCTCAGCTCACTGCAACCTCTACCTCCCTGGCTCAAGCAATTCTCCTGCCTCGGCCACCCAAGTAGCTGGGATAACAAGCATGTGCCACCCACGCCCAGCTAATTTTCTTATTTTTTAGTAGAGAAGGGATTTCTCCATGTTGGCCAGCCTGGTCTTGAACTCCTGACCTCAAGTGATTCGCCCACCTCAGCCTCCCAAAGTTCTGGGATTACAGGCAGGAGCCACCACATCCAGCCTACGGGACATTTTAAACCTCACCACAGTTTACTTTTTAAACTTACTTTTTACTGTTTTAAACCTCACCACAGTTTACTTTTCCTCTACCCTCAACTTTGTCAGAAATTTCTTGTATTAAATAACTTCCATATAATTAAAATAAAATTCTGTACTACACTTCTATTGTAGTCTGTCATGCCTGTGCCTTTGCACATGTTTTTTATCTCCTTTGACACTCAGTTAAGGAA